CTTGAGAGGTTTCCCTCTCCCAAGTAGCGCTGGAGTCAGCTGTTGCGTTGGTGGTTTGTCTGCCAACTTCATCATCAAGCTGCTGCCACAGGTTATCTGAAATAATAAAAAATACATTGGAATTTTAGTTTTTGTCATCTACTCCAAATTATTGTATATAGCACAAATAAGCTGATAACACTGAACAACATGCCTGAAGTGGGTGACTGCTCTGATGAAGGTCCAGGCTGTGGCTCAGATATTGTGCGAGCAATTACTGCAGCACACTCCATTTTCAGTCTATTAATTGCGTCACTGCACTTGGAGGAACTACGAAATCCGAGTGTTTTAAATCTGGGCTCTAGAAATGTTGATAGGGTCAACACACTGAATGTCTCCAGATTAGAACGCCTAAGTTGGTCATGGAGATGTGTGGCTGCTTGTGTGTGTAAATGTAAAGAGTTGCGCTCAAGTGCACAATATAGCATTTTCATCATGGGGATGACCTTTGATCCTGAAACTCTCCTCTCCTCAGACAATTCCACTGTGGCCTGATGGAAAGGGGCCAGCACAAGAAGTGCTTCCCTTAAGATAAACTCCTCAGCCGTAAGTGGAGTTAAGTCTGTTTGAAGAGAGGCAAGAGATACCCACACTGGTTCTTTCTCATCGTGTAGCTGTGACAGCATCTGATATGTGCTGTTCCAACGTGTTGGTACCTCATTGACAAGTTTCAGGGTGGGCCGTCCCATCTGTTGCTGCACTTGAGAAAGCTTTTCTTTGGCTGTGGTGCTGGATCTGAAGAATGATACGTTTTGTCTAGATTTGTGTCTGATGGATGAAAGTTCAGGGATTTCATCGCATGATTTCTTAACTATTAAATTTAGTTTGTGTGCAATGCAAACTGAATGCCGAATTTGGAGAGTTCTTGTTGCTGCAATCATATTTGGTGCTGCGTCGGTCACAAGACACCTTACCTTCTTTGTTCTGGCCCAGTCATCCATTATGCCCCTTTTGAATTGGGCCAAATTGTCAGCAGTGTGACTTTGTGGAAAGTGTTCCACTCCCAACACAGATGTACACAACTGCATATTATCATTAATGTAGTGACAGGTAAGAGCCAAGTAAGCCTCCATGTTCAAAGAGGTCCACATGTCAGCTGTTATACTCACTGCCACAGCTGGCTGTACTTCCATTTTCACTCGTTCGTGTTCCTCTGCATGTTTTTTGCCCACCATTTCTTTGACAGTCTAAAAATGAAACAAAATCAAATCAATATACATAGCTTAACAAATTTATTAGACCACCTGTCATTAAAGCAAGAAAACATCCAGCATTACGAAGTTCTCTGCATTTTGCCATTTTGAAATTCACATTTTTTATAACCAAATGTGAGCTGACACACTGGACAGAAGTTATTCAGGCATGATTTGAAAATGACACATTTTTTTCTATTTAGGAAGTAAATAACACTGTACTTTGCTATATAAAAAAAATTTAAAAAATCAGAACACTAGTTTTATTTTAGCATTAAAAATGTAATTTCAGTTCAATAATATACACATACTAATGGATTAACCATTTCAGAAACTTAAAAAACTATTTTGGTGATCACAAGTGCTGTTTATTTATGGTTGCTGTGGCATAAACCTTGAATCAGGTGGTCGTCTAATTAATTTGTTAAGCACTGTACTTCAATTAAATATTACATGATGAGTAACATCAGCTACATTTTCTAGACTAACCTTTCTGGTTGGCAAAACGTATGATGAGTCAAGGAGCTGAATCAGCTCCCTGAACCCCTCACTCTCCACAATGCTGAGGGGTTGGCAATCTTTTATAATAAAATTCAGGACTTCCTGGTCCAAAGCAATCTTCCTAGACGTTTGATGTTCAAAAATAATAAAATATTAAAACATATATTAATATAGCAACCATGAAGAAGCTGTTCAATGTCTGTATACCTGTGTTCATTCTGGGTGTATTTGTCACCTCCTCATTTTTATGCTTTGCTCTGTAATGCTTTAGCATTGAGGAGGTGCTTTTATTTATATATGATAGCTCTGTTGAACAGATGCGGCATTTAACCTGCATAAAATGAAATAAATAATTTATACTGAGAGTCACATTGCTGTGTGCGTGTGCTTTTTAAAATTCTGATAGATCAAGTGGAAACAAGGAAATACAGTTACCTTATTTGCTGTTAAAAGATCAAAATGATCCCACACGGCGGAATTTTTTCTTTTTCTCTCAGGCTCCATTTTGTTGATGTAGAAGGGGAGGTATTTTTTTTTTTATCTTTGGAAGGGTAATTTTCTTCTTTTGACAGTGATGCATCCCGTTGACACATACAGATGCGGTACCTTTTAAACACAGTTTGGTGCGTCGGTGACGAGCGAAACAGCAGCAGTATCGGTCACGTGACTTTTTCTTAAAGCGACACGCGCACCGATACGGGGCTTCGCTCTACAAGCTCGACACATGCGCCGGTGCATCAGTCTCGCTGGACTCATCACTATTTCCTAGTTTCCCTGTGTTTTTGACCCTTGGACTGTTTTCCTTGTTTTTGATTGTTTGCTGCCTGCCCTGACCATTGCCTGTGTTTTGGATTACTCTTTTGCCTGTGCCTTGGATAATACTGTTTGCTGATGCTCGACCCTGCCTGTTTTGACCATGTTTGTAAATAAAGCCTTGCATTTAGATCCCCAACTCCGTTGTCACGATTCTCCACATTACAGAATAATCAGCCACACCTGGATCCAGCGACTTTTTGAGCATTCCAGGCCAATCATGGACCCAGTCGGCCAACTACTGCACCTTCGGCAAAAGGACCTATCCGCTGAGGAATATGTTCATCTGTTCTGTGAGTTGTCATATCAAGTACTGCTTTATGATGAGATTTTGTTTAAGGACTTGTTCCGTTTTGGACTCAATGAGCCAACAAAGTCATTGTTACCTGGAGGGGAATTTAACTGTAGACTTTATGGACTATGCACTGTTGTCATGTGGCTCTCCTTTTACTGTGGGAGAGGCAGAGGAATTTGAAACCCCAAAGAATTTTTTTGGGGGGAAGGCAAAAGCGGCAAGCTCTGGCAGCAGTGGAGCTTGACCCATCATGGCCACCAGCAGGTCCAGTGATTATGGTCGCCACTCCTGTGTTCTCTGCACCTTCCTGTTCTGTGATCCCCAGTCCAGAGCCTCTTCCCAAGATGGCCACCAGTCCAGAGCCTCTTCCCAAGATGGCCACCAGTCCAGAACCACTTCACAAGATGGCTGTCACACCAGAGCCTCCAGTCGTTATTGATATCAAGTCTCAGTCTTCAGCCATCATGGATGCCATTCCAGTATTCCCGAGCATCGTGGATGTTGTGTTTGAAGACACCAAGGCTTTCCAAGGGCATTTGAGGCTGGTGTCCAGTCTGGCGGACCCACCGTTGATGTCGGTGCATGCAGCAGGCATTCCAAGAGCTTCAGCACTGGTCATCACAGAGACACTTCCTCTATCCTCAGTGCTCCCTGTAATGGCGATCGCCATCCTGTGTGTTTGGGCTACACACTGCTCTGTTCTCGCTCCAGTCTGTGAATTTACCCCTGAGTCTGCTCCAGACCGTGAATCTGTCCATGAATCCGCTCCAGAGCCCACTCCAGTCCAGTCCACTGTAGAACCTCCCAAATCGTCGGCGTCTGCTCCAGCTCCTACTGAGGTGGTAGATCCCGCTACAGAACCTCCCAAGTCAGCAGCGTCCGCTTCTGAACCCTCTGCCTGCCCTGTTACAGCCAAGGAGGCCATCTCCAAGCTCTTTGCCTGCCTTGTCACGGCCATGGAGACCGTCTGTGAACTCTCAGCCTGTCCTGTCTTGACCGCAGAGGCCATTATTAACCTCTCTGTGCCAGTCCCACCTGATCCGCCTTGGTGGGCACCTGCCTCGTTAGCTCTATGTTGGTGGACATCTGCTCTGCCGTGGGGATCCTTGCTCTCCTCTGCTCTGCTGTGGTGGTCATCTGCTCCACCGCGGGGATCTTCGGACCCATCTGCTCCCCCCTGGTGCCCTTCAGCTCTGCCTGCTCTGCCCTGGTGCCCTTGGTCTTGGTACCCTGCTCAGCCCACTCTGCCTCAGTCCTCTGTTCTTCCACTTCCACATGGACCTGGCCCTCCATCCTTCCCCCTGTTCTGCCTCCGCTCCACCCCCCTCCTGGACTCATGTCTATTCTTGGTGAGGAGCGTCTGGAAGCCGCTCCTTGTGGGGGGTCACCAGCTGGAGTGCCCATGAACTCCACTAGAGGGCACTCCACCCCGGACTCTTGCCTTTGTCTTCTAGACTGCATTTCCCATGTGTTTCTTGCCCATGTGATCTTGTCATGTGCTACCCTTGTCTGTTATATTCGGATTGGTTCCTTGGTTACATGTGTCTTGTTCCCATTGGTTGGTTTTGTCATGTGGTCTCCTTGTTCTGTATAAAAGTTGCTCACGCCTGCTCCTGGGTTGCTGATTATTGTGTGTATATCCATTCCATGTTTCCTAGTGTCCCTGTGTTTTTGACCCTTGGACTGTTTTCCTTGTTTTTGATTGTTTGCTGCCTGCCCTGACCATTGCCTGTGTTTTGGGTTACTCTTTTGCCTCTGCCTTGGATAATACTGTTTGCTGGTGCTCGACCTTGCCTGTTTTGACCACGTTTGTAAATAATGCCTTGCATTTGGATCCCCAATGCCTTGTCACGATTCTCCACGTTACAGAATGTAAGTTACAGTAGTATGAAAGTGACTTGGAGGGATTTAATGCATGAAAACTGTTCAAATATTCATTTAATATTTTTGTAAAGAATTATATGGATATTTAAGTGTGAGATGAAATAAAACAGTAGAATTCAGACATACTGTATGCCTACACCCTATAGTTACTGACATAAGCTGTTTTTAAACTCTGCTTAAAATTGTTTTTTTTATTTCATTGTAGATTTACATTAGTTAAATGACAGATAATTATCTAATTATTATTAACAATTAATTGATTAGTCAGCAGCAGGTCCCTGGAGGACTAGTGGCTAGGCCATGGTACTCTCACCGCCATGGCCCGGGTTTGATTCCTGACCAGCGAACCAACTCCAGGCACTGGGGATGCACATGACAGTGCACTCCCAGTGCTGGTCCCAAGCCCGGATAAAAATTGGGGAGGGTTGCATCAAGAAGGGCATCTGGCATAAAAACTGTGCCAATTCAAATATGTTGACCAATGGTCCACTGTGGCGACCCCTAACAGGTGCAGCTGAAAGAACAACAAATGATCATCACCCAGCCTTCACCTCCCCTAATCCATTGTTTCATTTCTGTCTCTCCCTTTTATATATGCATGCACACACACACACACACACACACACACACACACACACACACACACACACTTAGGTGAGGAGATTGATAAGGAGAGTTTGCTCATTTTGGATGATGCTTCCATTGGGGCACTGGGTTGAAGTCACACCCGAGAACTTCATGAGGTAATTCATTAACAGCTGATGTCTGATGGGGTATTCCTCTTTTAAATGTAAAACCTTGCTGGGTGCAATATTAATCATCCTTTGGTCCACTGAATATTTTTCACCCAGAGCAGAGACTGAAGTATCAGAGTGGCCATGACAGAGTGGTTAAAAAATAACATCTGGCCACTAAGCCAAGTAGAAGAATACATGCTACAGCCAGCCATCCACAGGGCTAAGTGCATAAGAGAGCATGGGGCAAAGTCAGTGGAGGAGATCAACAGTGTGTCCCCACATCTGCTGGATACTTCAGGTATGATAAGGTGTACAAAAATATTAGGCCAGAATTATATTGATTTCTGCAGTTGTTTATAGAAACTATGGGAAACTCATAATTCCTTTCTACAGATTGCTCAAGACTTTGCCATTCTACACCCAGACTGAGCTGTGAAGCTTACAGAAAAATGGATGCTAGTCTTCAAAGAGAAAATTTTGTTTTGTCCACCAAGAGAAGCAGGCCTTCGATGTTCTGTCAAAGTGGATTCTGTGCACACACATACTCTTTAAAGAGGTTGTCATTCTTGGTTTGGATATTAGAAGCTCTGCACAGTATTTTACTGCAGTAAACTTTATTTGCTAGTCAGCACATTGCTTCAACCCAGAGGTGGAACCAAGTAAAGCCTGAAAAGTAATGAAATGTAAAAACTGTTACATTTTATTTTTTTTAATCTGCATTTGTCCATCTTTAGTTATAAGGACCTGTGTTGATGTTTGCCAGATGTTTATTCATGAATACAAAAAGTTTATTGCTAATAAGGTATTCTTCTTAGCAGATGCAAAAGGTGACATGGCATTGAGATTACTTCTGGTAGCCCTACCAGCTCCAGGCTGGCAAGAAGACCTTTCACTTCAACTATGAGGAGATGAGAGTCTTTCATTGATCTACAGCCTGTACATTAAAGTAGATTAATTTGTTTGGTAGTATATTCTACCCAAATGTACAGTTAAGTGTCTGTTGCAATCACACATGTACACCTAAAGATTTGGGAAGGAATCAATAGTTTCAGGTGGTATATTTATGGTATATTTATGCATCAGTTGGCAATAGGGTGCATGTAATGAATAGTAGAATAGCGTGAACTGAAGAAAACTTGTACTGAATTCTTTGTGGGGTAAAATTTGTCAAAGACCAGACAGGTTTGCATAATGTGAGTCACTGCTCTTTTTTTTAAATTATAAGGTGTAAGGACTTAAGGACAGGAGATATTATTACTTATATTTATTAATGATTACACTGGGTAATGCTAATGTTTTTATAGGCATCTTCACCATTGTTTATGCTAGACTAGAGCTGTAAAATTTGATGGATCGATTGCATCAGGACTGCACACAGATTCTGATAGCATCAGCTTTAAACGCAAGGAAAAGTGAGTGGATGCCTCCTCTGAGTGATTACTTGGGGGGGCGGGAGGTGGGCTCACAAGCAAACTTGATGCTGATGATCAAATATTTGAATTTGCCAGTTTAGGAACAAAATTCTATGGGTATAGAACTTTAAAAGGCGAAACCACTATGAAAACTAAAGGCATTACATTACATTACACCAACTCTGAAATTGTCCATTTAAAATCACTGACAGACCTGGTGTATCAACGTGTGCAACATCCAAACCAAACCAGTGACATAATAACTTAGCACAACTCAATCATTCAAGATAAATGAGGGTATGACTTGAGAAGCAGATCACAGTTGAAAAGGTTCAAGGTTGTGTATGATAAGCATGTTGTTTCCTAATTTCTCAACTCTGCCTTACAGATTCTAAGACTCTGTCTGTATATACATCAATTCGCCATAACATTAAAACCACCGACAGGTGAAGTGAATAACAGTGATTATCTCATTACAGTGGCACCTGTCAAGGGGTGGGATTTATTAGGCAGCAAATGAACAGTCAGTTCTCAAAGTTGATGGGTTGGAAGCAGGAAAAATGGTCAAGGATCTGAGTGACTTTGACAAGGGCCAAATTGTGATGGCTAGATGACTGGGTCAGAGCATCTCCAAAAAGAGCAGGTCACTGATGTGCATGGGGAGCATAGGCTAGCCTGTCTGGTCTGCTGCCACAGAAAAGCTACTGTAGCACAAATTACTGTGCATCGCAGCTTGCTGCGGTTGCGTAGCTGCAGACCTGCCAGGGTGCCTATGCTGACCCCTGTCCACCACCAAAAGCACCTACAGTGGGCACATGACCATCAGAACTGGACCACGGAGCAATGGAAGAAGGTGGTCTGGTCTGAAGAATCACGTTTTCTTTTACATGATGTGGATGGCTAGTTGCGTGTGCGTCACTTACCTGGGGAAGGCATGGCACCAGAATGCAGTATGAGAAGAAGACAAGCTGGTGGAGGCAGTGTGATGTTCTGGCCAATGTTCTGCTGAAAAACCTTCGGTGCTGGCATTCAAGTCCAATCCATGAAGGCCCCAACTCGCAACTTACAGGACTTAAAGGAACTGCTGCTAAGGTCTTGGTGCCAGATACCACAGGACACCTCAGAGGTCTTGTGGAGTCCATACTTTGAGTCAGAGCTGTTTTGGCAGCACAAGGGGGGACCTTACACTTAAGCAGGTGGTTTTAATGTTATGGCTGTTTGGTGTATGTATATATGTTTATTTTGTTGTTGTTTTCTTGTAGCATCTTCAGGGGGATGAATGTGCCTGTTTTCAATACTAGACTGCAGCTACCCTTTTCGTGTATAGTATGTGGACCTAGCAATAGCAGGAAATCTTTTTTTATTTTTTTATTAAAATACTGCTGGAAAATTGTATAGACATAATGTCAAAAGTTCCTGAAAGCACTGTATGGTGTTATATGTGTTGGCAACCACTGTGCAATGAACTGATGACAAACATAAATAAACTTTATTCAAAGAATCCCTGGTTCTTTGTGTAGAAAGTAGAAAAAGTTTTTACAAAATATACTCAACACTTTGGCATACCCATACGAATCCCATTACGGACCACTTTGGGCTAGCCTGCATTGGGCCAATATCTATTTTACCCACATGGGTCCAATGTGGGTTTTCTGTGGCAGCCCAAGCTTTGGCATGCCCACACAAATTCCATGCAGGACCACTGCGGGCTAATCTGCATTAGACCAATACCTATTTTACCCACATTGGCCCAGTGCAGGTTTTCTGTGGGCAGCTCGCATTTAGTTCTTATAGGATTCACTTGAGGCAGAAGAATATGCAGTCTCCCACAGAAAATTCACAACATTATTGGAGAAAATACATGTGATTGACAGGAGTTTCAAGTCACAGCCTAGGAGGTGTTGGATTAGGTCTGGCCCTGTCCCCAACATTTTTTATTTGCTTTCACAGTGATGTCAGTGTTAACTTAAAAATAGGCTTTTCAACAACACTGACGACTGTTACTTATGTAAGGAAATGTAGACCGTTATCACCTCAAGTAATGTAACAGTTAGTTTGCTGGTTTTCAGATCTGAACAATTACTAAAGACTAATTTAGTATGGTTATTGTGTGTAGCACATATCGATTATCAGTAAATAATGTTTGTAGTTTGAAACTGTCCTAATATTTAGTTGGTCCTGTCATTTCTATTATGTATTTACTGTACTTATTAAATTATTAATTAACTTTAAATATAATTATTGCTTGACAACCCAGATAGCCAACAACTTTGGGCCAAAGTCATTTGCAGACCTGCAGGACTTGGCTTGCAGCTGATGTCACATCAACTCCAAGCCAAGCTCCAAGCTGACAGGGAGTCATGCTCTGACATAGTGACATACAGCGTCGGTTTGAAGCTTGATCAACTTCAGACCAACTTTAGCATGTGTTGCAGTATTCCACTGCACTGGATTTATTATATTCTAAATTCTTATTATATTTTAAACTATTATAGTTTTATATATTTTATTTCTAGGGTATAAAACAATTTGATTTGAGGGTCTCCTTATATTTCAATGACATGTTTGAGTAAGTGCTCTGAAGTAGTTTACTCTTGTGTTCACTTGGTTAAGAATAACAATAAATGTAAACTACAAATGTGAAATGTTTCTCTCCTGTTATCTGAATGAAAATGCATCAGAATTTCAGAAATGCCAAAGTAGAATCCAGAAATATGATTGAGCAAGCAGGTATGTAGAAGAGCACAAGGACTCCAAAACTAATCAGAAGATACAGCAGCTCTTCAGTAGTGTTTCTGATGCTCAGCTACTTGAAAGACAGAACAGAGGTAAAGAAGGCATTTAAATAACCTAAAGTGACTGCTATAAACACAATAAGTACTGATGTCTGAATATTGCCTGAATACCTGCACAATCAGCTGTCAAAGTTCATTACTTTTATATACTTGAGTCCAATACCAATTGTTCTGTTAGTCCTGTTCCTATGGAATGTCTAAAAGCCTAAAGAAAATGTAGTCCGAAGGCTAAACATTCACTACATACTTTAAATAAATGTTTTGCCAGTTTGCCAGCAAGTAGTTCAACCTGAAAGCTCTGTACACATCCATAAGTCAAGTTTAAATGGGCTTCGAGTGACTTTGATGCATGCTGTCATAGATATGAAGCACAACTGTAAATACATGACCCCTGACTGCAGTT